CCCCGTCAGCATTTCTTCTTATCAGCTGCTAGAATAGCCCTCAACTCTGAAGCCAGCCACTGTGAAGTCTGCCCAGCCCAGCCCTTGGTTGTCCTTGCCTCCCTCGACCTCTTCTGCATTTCATTTATTTCATTTTTGTGGGAGCTGTTTGACTCCCCATCCAAACATGAATGACCCCGTCTTATTCATGGCAGTTCTTCTACATCTTCTGCCTGCTACTTGATTCTACCCAGCTGAATCCAGGAACTGAGCTGGAGACACTGTTTGGAGCGCCCATTCAAAGGCCTTTTTCTCAGCCTGCTACATCCTCCCTCCGTGCAACACCAGTGACACATTGGCTTGGGAAGCCGTCCCAGCAGAGAAGGGGTCCTTCCATCTTGCGGTGGTGGGGCATAACATTCAATCTGCAGATTAATAGCTTGGGAAACTTTTGAAATGGGCAAACTTGGAACTAGGTCAACTTTTAAATCTGCTTTCTTCCCATTTTATTGTACCTAGACCTGGTATAGGGCAGGGTTGAAACTGACTGACTCCATGTTAGTCTTACACCAGGCGGTGGCAGTTGATTAAAAAGGCTTTCTATTATAGGTAGATACTCACAAAGTAGCTAATTGTTTTAGACTATCAAATGCTTAAAAGTGAGGAAATACTTTGAGAAGGTAGTGAGTGAATCTCATTCTGTTATCTATCATCTATCTGTTGTATCTTTTATCCATCTATCTATCCATCCATCTATCTACTCTCCAGCTATCTATCCATCTACCCATTATCCATCTATCTTATCTAATCTGTCTATCCATCCATCCATCCATCATCCATCTTTATATTCTGAGTTCCGCACTTAGCTTGTATGTTTTTCGTAATGATAAAACTTATTTCCTTCTTGGGCTTTCAGGGTGGTCTGATGCCCCTTCTGACCACCACAGCTCTAGTCGGAACTGAGGACACCTCTGCTTTCTCTCACAGACAGTGGTACACACCATAGAGCTCCAAGCAACTGATGGGCATGACCGGCCGCTTAGCAACTGCTCCATCCTCAACAGTGGCAAGATAGATGTGAAAACGCCCTTTGTGGTTGAGGTTGCTGACTGGTGACACAACTAGCAGAAAACCGTGTTTCGCCTGGCAGGGTTTTGTTTGTATGTGCGCACGTAGGCACATGTGCCTGCAGGAGTATGCCTGTCTGTTGTCCTTTAAATCTTAGATTACTGTTTTTTTCCTTTCTTTTTTTTTAAGTTTCCCACTCTAGTTCACAAGAGATTTAAAAATCAACCACTCAAAATTTAGTTTGCATGAATTTTGGTAAATCACTTGTTTAGGGATTTTAAACTGAAAAAAGACATACCTTTCTATCATTGGTGCTATTTTTAAATTAGAAAATTTTTATAGTACTTATTTTTAAGAACATAGTCATTTGTTTATTTTGCTGTTTGTTATTATTCCATGTTGAGTGATGCTAAAGATTTTTTTGAAAAAAGATTAGGATGTGAAGTTTTCAAAGAATTTTGTTCAGGTAAAGGGAGATTGGATTTATTTACTCTGATGTATGTCATAGATATTTTTCTTGACAGAGGTGCTTTTTATGTGGATTGACTTTTTGCAAGACTTTTGTACATTTAAAGTTCTTAGAAAATATACAAAATTAAATATACTCTAATGATAAACAGATCAGAGAAAGTTCTGTAAATCAAAATACTAACTCAACTGGACTGTTCAGAATGGGAAAGTACAAAAAACATCCCCACCCACTTCCCAACTACATATGTTAATGATTAATTTTTACTTAAAGTAGCAGTTTTGCAAGCCCCTCTGGCCCCAGGATATAGCTGAGCAGCACAGCTCCTGCCTGGCAAGTGCAAGGTCCTGAGTTCGATTCCTGGTACACCACACACACACACACACACACACACACACACAAGATAGCCCCTCTGAGCCCGATGGCAGTGGAGAGGAATGTTACACACGAGGCGGGAATTAAGATTTGGGCAGAATTTACCCAGGGGAAAAGGGTGAGCCCTTGGGGGCCGCCCTTCCCTCCAGCGCTCTCCCTTTTTTTTTTTAAATGTATTGAAGGTCTTTTTGTGCCGAGTGCTGCTTTGGGCAGAGAGAAGGGCTGCGCGAAGCTGGTGTGCTGGTAGGGAAGAGGATAAGGGAAAAGCAGAGGGTGGAAGAGCAGCCTGGGCCTGAAGGAGAAGCTGGTGGGGGGCGGGGAGGAGGGGGAGAGAGAGAGAGAGAGAGAGAGTGTGTGTGTGTGTCTGTCTGTCTGTCTGTCTGTCTGTCTCCCCGTGTCCGTCCCAGCCCGAGAGGACAGCAGGGTGGGCGCACAGCCTGAGGGCCCTGCCCGGCCGAGGTTCTCTGCTGCAGTCCCGCGGGCGCCGCTTCCCGTAGGGCTGCTCTTCGGCGGGGGCCAGCGGCCTCTGCTTCCCCGACGCCCTGCTTCGAAGGCGCAGCCGGGAGGGCCGCATCCTGCACCTTGCTCCGCTCCGCTCTGGGCTGGCTGACCCCGTGGGTCCTTTTTCTTTTAGAGAATCGCAGGGCTCTTCCCATCACACTTGTCAGCAGCTGACGCTGTACTTGGGGAGACCTTGGCCTGGCGAGGCCCGCAGTGGGCTCCCTGTGCCTCTATCTACCGAGGGGCACGCGGTCCCGCTCGGCCTCCGTCTCTCTACCGAGGGGGCCGCGGGCTCGCTCGGCCTCTGTCTGTCTACGGAGGGGCCAGGGCTGCAAGCAGCGCCCGCCCTGTGCCTTCTGGAGAACGTGCCTGGCAGGACGTGCGGCGAACGTGTGCGCTGGCCGTGAGGAAGACAGAGGGACGTGGACAGCAAGGGCAGGGCAGGCTTCTGAGTGGAGGTCGAGGGGTGAGGGTCCATGGGCCTGGGGGTGCAGCGGCCCCCCGTGAGGGCGGACGGTGGGCTCAGTAAGCAGCGCCTCAGCCAGGTGCGCAGGGCCGTCAGGGCGGGAGAGGAGGACCTGGCCTCCGGGCCTCCCCTTGCCCTGGCCCCGGGACACCCAGGCCGGGGTCTTCTGCCTCAGTCAGGCAAATGAGCCTCCATGGTAGGACTTCGCTGGGATTGCAGGGAGGAGCAGCCGGCCCTCTGCAAGAGGGTGTAAAGGAGGCGGGCTGCGACGGAGCAGCCGGTCCACAGAGGAGAGCGCTGCGCTCCTGAGGACGTCCTTCAGCCTCCTGCCTGGTGGCACCTGCAGTCCGTGCACTCTAGCTTTTCACCACACAAGCCGATCCGTCTCCTTTGTGCTAAGCCAGAGCAAATTGATTTCCTTTGACTTGCAACCTGTCTTTTGTCTAAAACAGCAATGTTGAAAATATTTTATGTAGAAAGATGTGAAGTGTAGAATTATGATAGCAAATATAGAGCAACCTGAATCCCATAAAGGTTATAGGCGTACGTCTCATTATAGAGCAGTATACACTCATTACGACTGACATTACAAAACTCAGAATGGAGAAAATGTCCATTTTAAATAAAAAGTAGAAATTCCGTGTACAGCATGACTGCAATTATGTAAATACAGTCTCACAAAGCAAATGTAACAAAATGTAGTTTCACACAAAGTCAATGCAAATGGTGGATCTTTTTACTTTTATATGTTATACTTTTTTCAGGTTCCCAATTTTTGTAAGGTAGATTTTGTAATTTTAGATTTTAACAAATTTTAAATAAAGGCAACACAGGAAGAAATTGGAAACAAATGGCTTCTACATGCAAAAGTGCCTCAGTCTCCTGTGTCAGAAAGCACATAGGGTATCATGTGTCACCCCTCCACAAAGACATGCACTTTACACCCTATCGGCCATCTATGACTTTATAAGCATGGACATAAGCACTATCCAGAAACAGCAGAATTAGTTTAGAAGTGCTACAATTCTGGTGCATAAGTGGTCAATTATGTCTGTGACACCAGATGACCAATGAGTTAATGCACCACCTGCTAAAAGGAGTTGATTTCTCATATACTGAATGTCAAGCCTGAAACATCAGCAAACATGACTATCAAAGTGGGAACTGTTGCTTTTTATAGGCTAATTTTTTTCTGCAAAAGCTTTCAAAATAAGTTCGTTATTTTGCAGATCACTTTACAAAAAGAACATGCATGTGGCTGTGGGCTACTATGGAATCAGAGGAAAAATTATACCAGACACCATCACCAAGTCCGCATTATCACAGTTTAGTCTTGAATCATTTCAATAAATGATTTAAAAAACATTTTGGCATCCTTAGCCATAATCAATTTTATTCTCACAAGTGCTATTTAACAACTTTCTGGATCATCAATTGAAAATTCAACACAATTTGTTCTTGGGGTCAGAATGGAGGGTACTTTTGAAATTATCAATTACTTCATTTTGAATGCATTTTTAGATTTTGAACAAAACTCACCAATCTTCTCAGTTCAGCCGTTTTGAGTTACATAAAGACAAAAACATGGCAAAGATTTTATAGCAGGAAAAAGATTTGTTTTTGTTTTTCAACATTCTTATTCAGACAGCTGAAGAAATCTTTGATCTACAAGGCTCGGAAATTCAAAGACTACTCAAGGCACTCTTCAAATTGAAGAATAAAAACTATTTGTAATGGAAAATTTTGATGCCATTAAGTACTAACAGCTTTTACTTAAGTCTGTAATTCATCTTGTGGATTTAAGCATTTGGCCAAGAGTGAGTTTTAGGTGTGATATAGCCTACTCCAAGACTTGCTAGTGTTACTGATATGCTAGAGTGGTGGAAAAACAGCTGGCAGTGCTACAGAATCATAGCCACTCATCACAGGGATTGTGTCAGAAGAAAAGGTCTGTGTGACAAGAGATAAACAGTGCCTTTCAAAGATCCATCAATGGAGTTGGCATGGTGGCGCACACCGGTAGTCCCAAGCACTTGGGAGACAGAGGCAAGGGGATCACCATGAGTTCAAGGCCAGCCTGGGCTACACAGTGTGTTCAAGGACAGCTTGAACTGCATAGCAAAACCATGTCTCAAAAAAGTTGATGGAATTTTTATACCACCTCTAGGTAAATCAGAATGTTAGGGAGTCACAAATACAGAGAATTTGGAGGGCCCCATGTATCCAAAAACTCTTCTCTTACCAACTTTCAAGTTTCACAGGTGTCATGTAAGTTTCCACACCCACTAACTGCTGAGTGCAAAGGCCTTTTTATCCTGCAGCACCTTAGACCTTTACCACTTTGGTCCCCTAAGCTCCTGTGTAGTAAGTCTGCCTCGTTACTTGGGTAGACATCTCTATTTGCAAACTTGAACCTTGTTCTTTCACCTGGTTTTGAAAGCTGGATCTCATGGTGACACCAGGACCCACACTGTGACCGCCAGTACTGGCCGGGCTGGAGTGGAGAAACAAGCCTCAGCTGAATCCTGCTAGCCTGCTGGCCTAAAGAAGAGCTGTCTTCTAAGACTTGGGAGCTCTGAGACAGGCTCTGCACCTGGGTCTAGCTGCCTCCGCCCGCCCCTGGGGCCCGTGTACTCTGGTTCCTGCGGGGAGTGAGGCCTAGAAGCTTCCTCGCCCTGCCCCAAACCTCCCTCCCCGGGCATCTCCCCATCCTCCCTGCGCTGGGAATCCTCTGGGCAGGGCATAGCACGGACTCGTGCTCCACCACCGCAGCATGGTTCACACCTCGCCGACACTCAGCATGCTCAGAATCAGTGCCAGGAAGAATACACCAACATTTACACTGTGAGGCATTAAAATCTCGCCTGACCCTAAAGATTGCCAAATGTTGGTCTTCAAACTGTTTCTACTATTTTCTAAAGATTTTTTACAGTAGACTTTTCCTTTTTATTTTCCAAGTTGAGGTTTGAAGGGTTTGACAGCAGTAGCTTAGCAAAAGTGAGTCAGAAAGTGGCCGAGTCAGAGGGCAGCACGGTGTGTGGTCTGAAGCCCTTTAACAAAGGTCCATTTGTTTGATCCCTGTGCTCTTTTCCTCACTACAGAGCATGTTCTCGGACCCAGTGAACTGGGCAAAAAGTGGACAAGGTTCAACACAAATCTATCTCCACACGGTACAAATCTGGGCTCATTTCCTTCTGCTAGTGGGTCAGTGTCCCTTAGTCATGCTTGCAGGTAGTTACAGACATCCCATTAAGTGGGGAACCTGTACCTGAGCTGGTGGGAGAAACAGGCCTGTAGGATTTCACCAAGTACCTGGCGCCCCGAAGACAGATCCCAGCCTTCACTCTCAGCCCCAAGTGCATGGCACTAGCATTTACCGGGTTGTTTAAGCCAAAACTCATCCTGACTTCTGCCTCCCCTTTATCTTTCACATTCAAGTCCAGCTGCAAGCTCCTGGGCAGCCATGCAAGACATCCCAGGACCACACCTCATCCTGCCCATGCTGCTTGACACACTGAAGTATTCAAGCGGTCCCCAGCAGTCTCTGCTCCACACCTGCACCAGCCCTTCCCTCAAGCAGCCAGCATAGTCTTCATAAAATCAATCACATCAAGTGGGATACATTATTTGAAATTGTGTATTATTTGCTGATGCCTGTGGGCTGTTCATAGGTTTCTAAATAAATGTTCATGTATTTAAAACTTTTATGCTTAATAAATACATACATATTAGAAACCAGATCATACCCCTCTGGTAAAAATCCCACTGGTGGCTTCCCATTGCACACAGGCTTTGAGCCAAACTCTTGAC